CAATATTTTTGTTGGAAAATCAGAAAATCGAAAAATCTTTGTCAAAAATATTTATAATGCATTATATATCATACACTGCTAAATTAATTATAAAAATTTTATTCAGAAATTTATATTCAGCTGTCATATCCTTGCCTCTTCAAAAATTTCATCACGCTGAAGTAATTAACAATCAAATGCGCGAACGAATGAATAACCAACAGCAATACATCCGAAAAGAAATAACGTGTTTAAAGAATAATGCGATCAATTCTGTACTTCAACTATAGTAAAATTTCGCATTGCCCATTTGAAAATAGTCCACACTTTAAAAAAACCACACATTACCGAAACATCGTCGACGTGGTTTGTATTTGTAGCCGGGAAACAGCGCAGAAGATCTTCAACCGAAATTGCTTCCAGTTGCTTTGTCATAATCCCAATTGGATGTTATCCACGGTTCCAAAATGACGACTCCTCGGATGAACTTTAGTTTTCAGAGACAAAACGGACCAACGTAGACCCGACTCGAGGAAATAAAGAAGCCGTACTATCACGAAAATAATTTTATCGGTGTAATTCAATCCTAGAGATTATTATGCGATAGAAAGTTGTTTGAATCCTTGATTCAAAGTTATTCAAAGTTTTCAAACATCTTCCCGAAACTTTAAACTTTAACTACATTTTGTTTGAATATCTTTTTCCAAGTGCAATGTAAACTTTTACCGAGATTGGTTCATCTGGCCAATTTACCTGACCGAAAATGAAATATGGATTTGTAGATTAAAACTTACGCGTTCGTAATCCTATCCAGTTGATCCCAATGGATTAAATGTTTGTACTGTATCACGTCAATCTGGCAACACGAGTCACATCGAAATTTTCAGTAGAATACGCAATTCCACAGGTGTAAAATAACAAACAGATCTTCTTTAAAAAGTGTCGGAATTTATGACACGCCATCTTTGTCGATTGGTGTTTTTCCATATTGAATTCTCGAATGAAATTCAAGCTCGTTAAGCGATCAAAAATTGATGAAACGTACAACGTACGTTTAAATATAGTTACAGTTGACGAAAGACTGATTTAGTTTAGTGGAAATTTAATTTGTACGAAGTAGAAACATTTCCAGTCGTAGGGATAGCGGTTCAGTCAAGTGTATCAATGCAAACACCGTATGAACGCATTGCTTGTCAAATTTTTCAATCCGATTTAATCGTGTAATTGCAAAGATCGGAAGAAGCGTAGATTTATTATAAATGCAAAAGCGCCGGTGCACGTGTGTGTCAGGTATGCGAAATTCAAGGTGTATCGATCTCTCAATTGTATTGACGGCGACCGAGTAATCAAGATGGAGTCAATAATCCATGATCCGTTCAGCCTGGAAACCGGTCTACCCAACGTGTAATTGGGATCAGTGCTTATCTGTTGGCGCACACCAGGTTTCAACCCCCTTGCCAACATTGCCTCTCTTCGCCTCCCCGTCACCTTTGCGCAATTTGTACATGCCTGCTTAGCGTAACAAATTCTCAAAGCGTTTTCAGCACCGGCCACTCATTAACTCGCTGTAACAATTCCTCACGAACGTGCAATCGATCCGCCGATTTTTCACGCATTTTGTGAAAAATTCGAACGTGCGGCAGAATTTATTTATCTGTGTGATACGTATCTGTGACTGTATGCTGTGCGTCACGTACTTATGAGATACTCAAACAATTTAAAGAGATTTTTTTTAAGAATTTTATTATTTTATTATTTTATAATTTTATAATTTTATTATTTTATAATTTTATTATTTTATAATTTTATAATTTTATTATTTTATAATTTTATAATTTTATAATTTTATAATTTTATTATTTTATAATTTTATAATTTTATATTTTATTATTATTTTGTCATTTTATAATCAGCTTATTTGTTTTCTCTTAAAAATATAAATTTATATTCATTGTCATGTATTTTTTTTTCGTGACAAACATACAAATCCTATACTCTACAATTCAGTTAATGCGTAAACGTAAATTTAGTTTTCTTTTTTCTTTTTTTTTTTTTTTGGAACGTTCCATTTTTTACTTATGTTCATAAAAATTAAAAAGTTCGTGCGAGAATTGATAGTCGAAAATAAGTTAGGTTCCAAGATAAGGTCCTAAGTTGCTTTCTTTCATTTTCTAATTATTCGTAACAAATTCTGTATCTTTACGTTTAATATTTAATGTACATTCATTGTACGTGTTCTATGTATTTTTGTATCCTTGAAGTTCAACTACAAATGCATGAGAAATTCGTAGTTTTATTTACACGTAAGATTTAAGATTTGAACATTGAACTGAAATTTCGCCAGTTCTAAACATGGAATTAAACAGAAAAGAATAATTAACAAGAGGTCAGTTCACGTGCAAAAGTAAGTAGAAAAATGAAGAATGAAAGTGTTTCGTTTAAAACTTTATTTCCAAGAAAATAAACTTCGAATATTTTTCTTCAAAAATTCCCTTTATACACGTGTGCTTGACACATTTCCAAACTCGATTTTCTCGAAAACGAAAGCACTTTACAAGAAAATTTTATTTTACATTTTCACATGTAGAATAACCTACAATTAATTATTCTTTTCTGTCACGTCTAGAGTTAACTCTAAATTCGACTCAACGAAATCGACTCAACCGAAATTTTCGAACTTGATCTTCACGGAAAAATTTTATTCCTTCTTTCCGACTTACTTCCTCCATGATAAAATCATCCGTTTGTGCTGTCGATCCCGAGATATAGCAGTCACGACAATGATACATCCACGAATACAACGCATATCAGAAAATCGTAGAAAACGCACGTGAATTACAATAAATTCAGTTAGACACACACAGATTCTAAAGTTCGGATGCTTATGTTGCATACGGTTCTGCTGCGTCGCGTACGATACGTTATACAAAACCGAACTATGCATCGTATACTCGGTATATTCTCAGCAGTATGTCGATGCAGCAGAATATACAGGGTGAGTTACTTGGAGAACGTGAGGCGCCACGTGTTTGCATTCGACGGGACACGTCCCGTGAAAACTCCCCTCCAGAAATTTTCGTCGAATCTTTCCCGATCGTATTAACCTCGGTAATACCTTAATAAATATCCCGAATTTTCGACCGTGCGCGTCCGAACGTTTTGCTCGTTTGCCCCGTTGGAACGAGAGTTTAAACAGACAGGACGTGGAGGATCGAAGTTGAAAACCGCGATCGTAGAATTTAATTAAAAATCCTTGCAGCCGAGCAAATAACACAAGCGAGAATAAAAGAAAAAAATACATTTCCACTCCCCTCTCCTTTTCTTTTTTTTTTTTTTTTTTTTTACTTGATCAAACGCATTCGATGTGTAAAAATGGCGCGAACAAACGAGAATAATTATTGTAAACGGTCGTTGGTTGGTGGAATCGTTGATGGAACTTGATTTCAACGAGTTTCATCTTTTATCCAGTAAATGGATGATTTTTCGATCGTGAAGTATTTCTATTACTTTTATTCGACTGACTATAATACGGTAGAATGCCTCGATTTTAACACCGGATTTGCATCAGTTTGTTGCATATAAAGTGGCTGATTTCGCGAAATCACGCGACAGTCATTTGGAAATTTCGTTTCCTAAAGGATCCAATTTGCTGAACGAAAAATTCGTAGACCAGGGCGTACGAATACACGATGTTTACTGATGTGTGGTACAGATAAGATGCGATCATAAAAAGGGTCAGTAGAATAGGTACAGCGGAGGGGAAAAAAAAAAGTAAACCAAGCGAATATCAGAAAAATTGCTCTCGTGATGAAGCACTCTTGATTTGTTGGCGAACAATCTACGAGTAGCTCATAAAACACCGAACGTATCATCCCCCGTGTTATCTTTGTTCGATAGCTATGGCAATAAACATTACAGTCTCGCGTTAGATAATCTTTATTTCAGCAGAAAATACGTTTCACTTTTTGTGTGTATATATATATATATATATTTATATTTATATATAATTGAACATGTAATTGTTTGCAAAATGTTTAGAAATCGCACTTGTCCGATTTCTGATAGGAAGCAATAAATAAATCTTATTGAGATAATATCTAAGTAAATGTATTAATTAACCTTATGATTTTCTTTTCAGTCTTCAGTGAGCATTAGTTATTATAACACGATAATTTATATAATTTATATTCGTTAATCTTCAGTTTGAAGATTGAGTTCAAATTCGTCAAAGAGTTAATAAAGGGTTGCAAGTAAAATACGAAATTACGAAAATATTGTTTTTATGAAGCTACATATCTTATGTTACAGCAGAATCTCAATAATCGGAAGATAAAGATAAAATTTGGGAATAACAGTATTGAATTTCATCTACATATATATTGTAAAAGGATTTTACCTTAATAATTAGCTCGGATGATTACGATAGAAGGAGGTAAGTATTGCATGAACTGCATATGTAAACTACATTACACGGACTACATACGTGGAATTACAATGAACTACATTGTACGAAACGTACCGTACGAATAGTAGAACATTCTGATGATAGAACTTTCGGATAATGGTTACTCCGATAATCGAGACTGTACTGTACCTGCACAAACTTCCGTTTCATTGCGAAATTGCAAAAATTATTGAGCAAGTTGTCGAGCAACAGGAATTGCTAACGACTTTTGTTACAAACAAATAAATTGTTCCTTTCATATTAATATTCCTGCATATAAAAAAATATATGTATAAACATTTTCATCCATAGAAAAAGACGTATAAAAATATATAAATATCTATTAGTAATATTTATAATGAAATAGAAGTATTCACGAATATTTCCTAACGTTATATATACAGATTATAAAAAAAAATCTAAACGCGGCTCACAGAATATTATGTATTGTAAGTGCAAATAAGAAAATAACCGGCATTAAAATGCATGCAGTATACTTATACTGGTTCCTTTTTTTTTTTTTTTTTTGTGATGAAGTAGACCGAGCTATTTAGAAGACAATATCCTTGTGTTTCAGAGGGACCGAGCTTTACCGTACCAATAACGAACGTGACGATCCCAATGGGCAGAGAAGCTGTACTCGCTTGCGTCGTTGCGAATCTTTCTACCTACAAGGTAAACTCTTCGCTAACGATGTCTCTTAATCTCGCGTGCGTGTGTGCGTGTATCGGTATATGTGCGTGTCTTTTTCTTCCCGATAAAATTACATTGCACGGCTCTGATCGAACAACCGCGGCTCATGTACATATATAACATGTCCATTGCATTTTTCAAAAAATTCCAAGGAAATTAAGATCAAATACTCACAGTTAGCCCTGTCTCTTTATCGAATCTCTTGTTGGATCTTGTTCGTGACTTGTTTGTGACTTGATTGTCATTTGAAGCGACGTGATCACAATTCGCAAATATAACATTGTCGTCGCACTTCGTACTACAAACTTGCATTTTGGTCCTGAAATTAATCTTTTTACAATTAATCGATTTACAACCACTCAGTCGAGGTGCTTTCGATGAGTGATGATATTCTTTTTGAACTTTAGTGCTAATACTAACACATTATAGTATATATTGCAATAATATGTTGCATAAAATATATAGTAATATTACACATACATAATATAGAGTAATTTATGGCGTGGGTCTATAATCTTGTATCGTTAATAATAAACTTATATTATAATAAAAAGAATTTCCACCAAAACAATGCATCTATTCTGAGGTTGACCAATTAACGAAATTCGAACTTGACAATAAAAATTTCGATCAGATTAACTCTGAGACATGTGTTTTTACAAAATGTTTAATCCACAGGCAAAATTGTGTTGGTTTCCTACTAAAAATTATCCAGTGTTTTCTTTCAAGAAATACGTCACATGTACACATTTTTTTTAAATTGTTAGAGGACAGTAACGAATTCCATAATTATTTAGACTTCCACAGTCTAGCGTTTGGACTCCAAAGATCTTTGCTTAAGTTTTTGATTGTGAGTTATAAATCAGACCAAGTGTTTGAACTCTACGAGGAAGAGTTCTAATCTCGGCTAACCAGATTCCTTATGTGGCAAACTCGATCAATAAATGTTGAACGTTTTGCGACAGAATTTCAGCAATTCTACAAATCTGTACATATATATATATATATATATATATATATATATATATATATATATATATCAAAAACGTAACATGTACATTGTCTTTTGCTTCTAATGGCGAAGAAAATCGATACGAACTTAATACCAAATTGATATTGAATTGACGTAACATTTCATTTTCAATTCTCCTAAATTAATTCACATTCGAAGCTACGAAATAAAATTTCAAGAGATCATTCCGTAATCGTTCCGTAATCTTTTGAAATTTGAAGAAATTGAATTATTTGTAATATTACGACGAATTATTGCTTATCTTATTATAATATAAATTCATTAATAATATATTATATTATAAGAAATATATTATATATTTATATTATAAGAAATTAATTTGATATTATATTATATCTTGTATATTATCTTAATTTTAGATTATACATTTATATTATAAGGAATTAATTACTCCGAAATTATATATGTCACTGAGAATACGAAGATTTCGCTGAAAAACAATTAATAGAATTGATATGGAAAAGAGGAGACGAAATAAAAAAAAGAAGGATTCGATCAATCGATGAATACTCGAAACAGATTTAATTTCAATGATTCTGTATATTTTTCAGTGAAGTTCGTTGGCAAACAAAATTTCGATCGATGTCCCCGCGTTAATAAGAAACATCGACTCGATATTGTTCGTTCGATGGCCAGTTATTGTACGAGGTTCGACAACCTGATACCAGCGGCGGTGAGCCTGTGAAATCGAAGGTGAATCGGTGACCTGAATTTCCCGGCGGCGTGCTGCTGCCCGCTCTCGTAAGGATCGATTCTATTTAATAACTTTTTAACTCGCGCAGCGGCGTCTGTAGAACAAAAAGCCGCTCCGCGGGTTCTCGCATGGCCAATCAACGAACATTGCGCGTGAAAAATTGGAGCGTAAGCGAATTTCGTTAATTCGCGATCGAGTAATCGTGAATTGCTGCTGCTGCCGCCGCCACGGAGAGCCGTTTGCGCGAAACAAATTGGCAATATCGCGAAATTTCTACTCGAAAAATCTACTTGCAGCCGCGCGTTGCAGTATACGTGGGCGAAATCGGGGAATTTAAAGCGGCGAATGTTTTAATTATTCTTCGATCCCGTATGCGTATAACGTATCAAAGAGGGGGGGGGGGGGTCGGTGGTCCAAGCAACCGGATAATTAAAGAGCTGTTTTGTCGGCAATTTCGTCTGCGCATTGACAGCTACTTCTTTCAGTTCGCTTCATTCAATCGCGAAAACAGTGATTAATTAAACGTAGCGAGTCAATTTAGCTTTGAAGTGTGAGGCATGCGACGCGCTCGTAAAAAGTTACGTGGCTCGTTATATTTGATAAATCTCCCTTAACTCTGCGCGTTTACGTGTTTTGATTTTCTGATTTCGATTCAGTCGTAATATTTAGTAACAGTCGATTGAAACTTTGGAAACTGGCAGCTGTAATCTATTCGGTCGAAACATTTTCCAACGAAACATTTTCATATTTTGCCAGGCGCAAATGTTCTTCTAATGCACGAAACGAGGCGAGTTTTTCTAATTACAGGACTCCTTTGATTTCAATCCTCTCCGGTTCGTGCGAAAAAGTTTCGATGAAGCGGCATGCACCGGATTCATTTCATCGAAAAAATTTATGTTTATTTTATGTGCAGCTTATCAGTTGCAATTACGATACTGCGTTTGATATTGGAGTCGTACGGAGGCGCACGTTGATCGATTCGGCAAATTGAAAAGCAGAGAGAAGACGATATGTTGCGAACGTTACTTCCTTCAATACGTTATTTTCAAGCGAGATACGAACATGCAGAAGTAGATTATTCGTTCCTCGCGCATCGAATATTAATCGCGCGCGAGAGAACACAAGCAAAATTACGAGACACGAATAAAAATGTATATCGTTCGTATATTCGAGATACATTCACGTGAGGCTCGTTAATTCGTTAAACGTAAGTTTTTACTGAACTTTCTCCCGTTGTCTCTAAACGTTTCCGCGAGTCGAGCAAATTGAAATCAAATCAAATCAAATCAACAGTTTTACACACGGTTTTATCAAGTTTCGCAGTCGGCTCTAATCTTGGAAAGTATCGGGATTTAATCCCGCCGCTTGTTACACGTTTTATCTTACTTCGGCTGAAAGATGAGAGAGATGATCCGCCAGTTGAAACGGCAGTTCTCGCTGCGGGAGAATTTTGATAAAATTTTACTTGACGTCCCCTCTGGGACCGTTCGCAACTGCAGTCTGAAAACAATTTGGACAGTTGTACCGAACGAACTCTTTAGCTTAACGGTGCTTACGCATTCGCTCGGAACATACACGGACTTGCTATAAAATTTAAATAGAGGCTGAAGCGAACAAGATAGAAAGAGATAGAGAAAACAGCAGGGGGGTGGGGGGAAAAAAACGGTCGATGGCGTAATATAATTTCTATTTAAATAAATTCAAATTTATTTAAACGACGCTGCCCGCCCGCCGGCTGTTTCGCGTACCGTGTATTTCAAGGACAATTGAATACGCGACGGGGAGCGGGTGGATGGGGCAAAGAACAGAAATCTGTATAATTATTGCGAGTCGAGAAACAGAGTTACGAAGAACAACCGGCGAGAGAGGAAGGCCAGGTGTTAAGCCTGCCATAGGGTTAGAAACGAGTATAGTCCTGCGAACCAGCAGACGCAGACTTAGCTTAAGTACGTCAGTTTAAGCCTGGATGTTGCGCAGTCATGGTTCCAAGCGGCGAGCATGGCCGCTTCCTGTCACCGTTCTACGTTTCCTTCCTTCTCTCCCGGGCCCGGTGTGTTAACCCTCAAACGTTCTTGTAGCCCGAGAACACTTCGCCTTAAATGGGCAAGATGCTCGCTCGCGTTTTCGTTCATTCCCTTCATTATTCCCATGCCTTGTTACGTCCAGCTTCCCTATGCCACTTGCGCCGTAAATTGTTGCGTCCGGTGATTCTTCTCGACAAATGAATACGTCTGTCAGCCGTTTTCTTTCTTTCTTTCTTTCTTTTTTTTTTTTTTTTTGAAACGTCATTAAGGTCAACGGCGGAGCTAGCGAGCAAGTGGAAGAACATCGAGAAGAAAACGAGCCACCGGGTGGCGACGCGTGTGCACGCGTTTAGATCAAACCAACGGATGCTCGTTCGTTTCCTGTTTCGATGGGAAATCGTAACGACGATTAAGTAGATATTACTGAAAGACGAGATACGACGAGGGAATAGACGAGGCTGTGCTTGCGATTTCTGCGCTGTGGAGCGATGAAAACATTGTGGAGAACAAATGTGGAAAATTCACTTCCTTTCCACGAGTTCCAATTCGATGATCGTTCGTTCGAAAATTCTATCACGTTTTCTATTTTTTTTTTTTTTTTTTATCTTGCAGCGTTAGAAATTCTTTTCAACCTGGGAAATGATTTTTATTTTCTTTCATTTTTTTTATTTTTTTATTTTCATCGACGGGATGATATAAATAGAATCGACAATAAAGAGGCAATAGAATCGACAATAAAAAGGATTGATTCATGACGCATTAATATTGTAATAATATTCGAAGATAATAGCGATTTGAGAAAGAAAATGTATCAATGCTCCAAGTGGTAATTGAAGCATAATCACAAGAAAAAAGAAAGATAAGTGAGATTTTTTAAAGTTTTGAAATTTCTCTTTACACAGTACCGTTTCATGCTTGCTTTAACACTTTTTTATTGTTTTTATCACAAGAAATCTTATGTTGAGTCATACTCGATATTTTTAAATTGCCAAAAAAAAAAAAAGTAATTCAAAAATAATTTGGAGTGCCGGAGGAACTGATACCGCGAATCTCGCGGAAACGTTGCAATGGTAAAATCTAGCCATTCTATACCGTTATGTTTCCCTCTGGAAACATCGTTCCCTACGAGAAAGTTCCACTTGAATTTAAGATACGTCTTATAGCCAGTGAAACAGTCCTTAATCCAGTCTGAATCCCGTGAAAAATGATTCCTACTAGATAGAATCTGACA